TGGATCTGTGTTTGGGAAGGAGAGGGATGGTGCACATCTGGGTGCCACCAGGTGTAGGGTCAGGGTCGGCTGGGTGTGCACTGCACCCGGGAACTCATCCCATTTTCACCAGCTTCCTGCTGGGATGGTCCTGCACCTGGAGCCCGTCCTGGGCTCTCGGCTTATGAATGACCCTCGTGTGCTGCGAAAATGCCGAGCTGTCTGCAGAGCAGCCTCTGCCACACACAGACCTAAAACATCTGGTGAGTGACTCACTGGCCCCAGCCCCGACCCTGCATCTCGGGACAGCCTCGTCCCACGTGTTCCAGCTCCGCTCCTCTGAGTGAGTGGGACTGAGGTTATCCAGACGCAGCCTCAGCAAAAAAGTCTTGGGTGTCCCAGCTTGGTGTTGTGGTGCTGGTTTTCTCTTGGGACTGACTCGCTGCTCGGCCTCTTGGTTCAGAAAGCCTCCAAACCCCCTTCCTGCTCCTCCAGACCCTTTGTTTTTGCCACTGTGACATTCCTTGCGCTTGTTTGAGGAGCTAGAGCTGTTTTCCATCTGTCTGTGAGGATCGTGCAGTGGAGTAGCTGCGTCCATTGAGGTGATGCAGTTACCACCATGTGAATCCAGCTGATGTTTCCAAAGGGCTCCAAGAGGGATGATCAGGATAGAACAGGTTACCCAAAATAACTGTGGCTGCCCCATCCCTGGAAGTGTCCAAGGCCAGGTTGGACGGGGCTTGGAGCAGCCTGGGATAGTGGAAGGTGCCCCTGTCCGTGGCAGGGGGTAGAACAAGATGAGCTTTAAGGTCCTTCCAACCCAAACCATTCTGGGATTCAATGATCTTGGCAGGTTTTTGGGATGGAAATTGGCATGTAGCCAAGGTGGGATTTACCCTCCACACCCCTGCCTTGTGCTGAATCCATCCTGAAGATGCTGGGTGGAAATACAGGAGAGCCTCCTGTGCACCACATGTTTGATTCCTACATCCTTAGCAGCTGGAAACTGGTGCTGTGCAGCATGGGAAGGAGAAACATCCACACAAGCCTCTCTGGGATGCCCAGAGATCACCCACATGCTGTGGACACCTTGTTGGGAGGCTCTGGATTTGCCCCAGCACATCCATCCGTCCTCTCCAGCTCTCCCTCCTCCCCTTGATCGAATTCTGGATGAGCATGAAATTAAACTTGCAAATTGCAGCCCTTTCTGTATTTTTTCGGGTCATTATTATGCACATTTCTTATGCACATACCTTGGGTACTGCAGGGTTTGAGGAAGGAAAATCAGCCAAAAATAATCATTTGGAATGGAGAACATCTACTATTTCAATTCCTCCCCGGAAGCCCTTTCATTGTTAATTATGAGCAGACTTGCAAGCAGCACATATTTTAATTTTTAGCATGTTTTGATGTTAAAAATCTGCCTTTGTTTCTAAGATCCTTGGTTTTTCCTGGGTTTCTATTTAACACTAAGAAAGCTCCAGGTGCTCAGATGCTCACTTTGTACCTTCAAAGACCAACAGAAGCAGAGAGGCACTTGTGGCTAAGATATCAAAGCCGTGATGCTGCTTTTATCATGTGAACTGTTGGGAGAAGGGACAAAGTGATGACGCTGTGATGGTGTGAAGCCCTGCCCTGGGCAGTGCTGGGACTTGGTGTCTTTTTGGGGGGAGTCTTTGTGAGATTCTTGGATTCCACTGTATTTTGGGGGGGCTGAGCTTTGATGCTGGAGATGCCTGTGGAGTGATTGCACCTGGGAGAGGGAATTGTCTGGTGCAGAAAGTCCCTGCAACCCGCCCCTGTCTCCCTGCTGCAGCACTGGGGGATTATGGCTGGATCTTCTCCATCAGCCTCTAAAAAAGGGCAGGGACTATGTGCCAGTAGGGATTCCAACTCTATCCCAAGCTGCATCTTCCCAGTGTGGGCAGTGGAGGGGGGGGGGGAATTCTGCCCTGCTCAGGTGAGACCTGCAGAGCTGCCTCCAGCTCTGGGGTCCAGCAGAAGAAGGATGTGGAGCTGCTGGAGCGAGTCTGGAGGAGGCCATGGAGCTGCTCTGAGGGCTGGAGCCCCTCTGCTCTGGAGCCAGGCTGGGAGAACTGGGGGTGTTCACCTGGAGAAGGCTCCAGGAGACCTCAGAGCCCCTTCCAGTGCCTAAAGGGGCTCCAAGAGAGCTGGAGAGGGACTTGGGACAAGGGCCTGGAGGGACAGGCCAAGGGGGAATGGCTTCCCACTGCCAGAGGGCAGGGTTAGATGGGATATTGGGAAGGAATTGTTGACTGTGAGGGTGGTGAGGCTCTGGCACAGGTTGCTCAGAGAAGCTGTGGCTGCCCCATCCCTGGAGGTGTCCAAGGTCAGGTTGGACGGGGCTTGGAGCAACCTGGGATAGTGGAAGGTGTCCATTCTCATAGCAGGGGATGAAATGGGATGATCTTTAAGGTCCCTTCCCACCCAATCCATTCCATGATTCTGTGACATGGCTCCTCAGCCGGAGCTGGCACAGGATGGGATCACGGAGCCGCTCTGCACACCCAGCACTGCCCATTGCAGGCTGGGCATGGAAAAAAGAAACCCTCTTGATTTGCAGGGCACATCTGTGAATCGAGAGCAGGGCTCCCCATTTAGTCACAGCCTTCTGAGGCACATTGGCCTCATCCTTTCCCGTTCCTGCTGCTCTCCCCCGTTGGTGCTGGGGTCAAGCCGTGCAGCCTTTTACCAGCTCCAGCACTGCAAAATCCTTCCTTGCCTGCAAGGGGGTAAAAGAAATGAAATGGTTTTAAATATAGCATGTCTTGGGTTATTTTTACTCGCCTTTTAATTTTAGGCTCTCCAGGTTTGCTTGTTTCAGCTTTCCTCTGTAATCAAAAGGGTGAGGAGCTTCCTTTGCTCTGGAGCAATGAAAGACCCAAACCTCCCACACAGGCACCTGGCTCTGGAGCACAGACTGCAGCTGATGGAGCCCCGGGAATCCACTGGATCCTTGGAGAAACAGTAAGAGCTGCTGGTGTGGAGGGGCCCCTTGAGAAAATCATGTTAAAAACCAGTAACTGCATCCTTTGGGGAAACATCTGCTGTGTGCGTGCTGCTGAAAAATCACCCGGCTCCCTCCCAGTGCCCTGCTCTTCCTCCTCCTCCTCTTCTTCCTTCCCTGCCGTGCTCTCTTCCCAGTGTCCGTGCGGATGCATCCCTCCATGCGTGTCGGGAGCAGTGCTGGGTGTCCCGAGGCCCTATAAAAGGAGACATTGTGTGTGTGGGAGCGTGGGAGGAGGCTCAGCACTGCAGCCTTGCCCCGGCCAAACGCGATCCGCTGTGCTGTGGGAGCGATGGTGGGGACCCCCAGAGTCCAGCTGGGCTGCACCTGGAAAGCAAACCCCAAAAGGTGGTGAGAGGGGTTTTCCCAGGAAACTGTGCTCCCTTTGGGTGGTTGATGCAGGAGGGTGTCTGCCCCGATGCTTGTGTGACTCAGGTCTTGCTGTTCTAGACGGGGGACTCTCATGGGTGTCCCTTTCCAGTGCCACGGCTCCCAAATATTTGGGGGTTCACCCTCTAGCCCCAGGCAGCACTTTCTGCCCAGCACAGTGTGGGGTTGCTAATGTCTCTGGGCAGCTGGTGTGGGTAAATCATTAGCCAGGTTTTTCCTGGGAAGCAGCCTGGTCTCTGCAGGGCAAACTCAAGCTGCCTTTTGTTCTCCCCAGAGGAGACAGCTCAGCCTTCCTGCCTCACCATGTCCTGGCTCCGTGCACCCCATCCCGAATTTGAGGTCTCCAAAATCCCCGGTTCATGCACCCCAGTCCCCTGGGTCTGCATCTCCCAGCTCTGAGGGTTGGCTCCACGCACCCTGTTCTCCCAGCCCTGTGCACCCCCATGTTCCCTGCTTTTGTGTACCCCAATCCTCTGCACTGGTGTGTCCTGGACCCCCAACTCTGTGTATCCCAACATTCCCATTTTCCTGCGCTCTGGTCTCCTGGCTCCATGCACCCCCGTGCCCTGGGTTATGTGTACCCCAGTTCCATGCACCCCAATGCCCAGGCCATGTGTATCCCAATCCCCTGGCTCTATAAACTCTGCTTCCCCAGCTCTGTGCACCCCAATACCCAGGCCCAGCATGTACCCCGGTCCCTTGGCAGAATGCACCCCAATGCCCTGTCTCAGCGTACCCCAAATCACCTGGCTCAGTATACTCCAACCCTTCCAGCTCTGCACCCCAATCCCCCAGCACCAGATACCCCAATACCCTGGCTAAACCCTCCCGGCTCTGTGCATTCCAATTGCCCATCCCTGTGCACCCCAATTCCCCTGGCTTGTTGCCCTCAACCCTCCCATCTTAGTGCCCCCCAATCTCCCAGCGTCAGACACCGTAATCCATAATCTCTGGCTCTGTGCACCCCATTCCTCTAGTCTGGTGTTCCCCAACTCTCCCAGCTCCGTGCAACCCAACCCCCTGGCCCCATGCACCCCAATCCCCCTGGTTCAGTGCTCCCCAAATCCCCATGCCTGCGCACCCCAATCCCGCAGCCCCGTGCATCCCAATCCCCCGACTGAACGCACCCCGCTCTCTCGGCCCTGTGCACCCCAATCTCCCAGCTCCCCAGTCTCCCAGCTCCAGGTTCCCCAATCCCCCAGCCCCGTGCTCGCCAAACCCCCAGCTCCAATCCTTCAGCTCCAGGCTCCTCAATCGCCCTGGCTCAGTGCTCCCCAGTCCCCCAGCCCCGCTCTCCTCGATCCCCCAGCCCCGCTCTCCCCAGTCCCTCAGTTCCAGGCTCCCCAATCCCCCAGTCCTGCTCTCCCAGATCCCCCAATCCCGCTCCCCCAGATCCCCCAATCGCGCTCTCCCGGATCCCTCAGTTCCAGGCTCCCCAATCCCCCAGTTCTGTGCTCCCCGATCCCCAGC